ATCTTGCATGGTTTATCTTGTTCAAAAGCCGTCTCCGCCAATTGCAACAGCATCTGGATAGATTTTTCGACCGAGTCACCGCGGTTCCACATGTTCAGCGTCACAAAGCTTCCTGCAACACGGTCAGCTTTTCTGTCCTCGCCAAGGGTCAGTCATATTCACCGGAGCTGACGGCACCTACCACCTTGAAAAACTTTTGAATTGGAATCGGGAGGCCAATGCGTTCTTGAAGTCTTCTCAACACGGTTAGTGGGATGATAGCCCGAGTTCCACCTCCGTCGATGCTGAGGATGCTCACTCCACTGGTCGGAGGCTTGACGGCCACCGTAATGTCTTGATCCCATACACGCTTGCAGAGGAAGCATGAAGAGACTTGATAGGTCCAGGGCCGAGTGGGTTGTGTTTGTCCGAAGATTTGAATACAGGTCTCGCAGAAGCAGTGCCCACAAGGGAACCGGTACTGGGGAGGACGTCGGATGCAGCACAAGCAAGTAACGTCGCTGCGGATACGGCGCCATCCCTTCACAAATTGTTGAAGCACCTGTAAATGAAGCGACGCGCTGGGTAGTTCCGTCCCAGAGACCAGTGAATCAAAATATTGCGACAACTTACCCTGTATGAGCTTGAGGACTGCCGAACGCAGGATAATGTCGGGCGAACCCTCGAAGGATACCACCCGTCCGCCAAGTGCTTCGCGGAGGGCGTCCCGGTAAAGCGACTGAAAGACTTGGGCAGAGTCAAACACTACGCCACGTCAATCCGGTATTCTTCAATTCATGAGTAATCAGGTGCTCACACCCAGAACTTACCGTGGCAGTTGGGGGGGTAGCTATCGATCATCAGACTCGAGGCGATGACAGGGACCGCAAAGTTGGTCAAATCTCGAGCGGTATCGCAAGCCTTGAAGAAATTCGTCAGGTGCAGTGCATGATCTTCTGCCAGGGGATTGTGGGAGCGGGAGGCTCTGATGAAATCGAACGGATCCGAGCCCGAGGCGGAGAAGTGCTCACAGGCGGATTCGAAAAACGCTGTAAAGTGGGTCAAAGAATACAAAGTACGGGCCTCACGTCTGCAATTTTCGGCTTTTCGGACACGCAAGAGAAGTTGTTGCTTCAGGTGCTCCATCGACCCTTGGGGACGGAACTTTTGACTGGGGGGCACGGCAACAACTTCGATGAAAGAGAATAAAACAGATGGATCTTGGCTGGTCTCTTCCTTCAACAACAAGAGCAGGGCTTTTTGGGCTTCAGTTTCTGCCATCTGGGTCAGCGGGATTTTGTCACTCACGACGACCACGGAAGGTCTGGTGAAAGGTGTGGAGGTAGGGCCGGTCACATCACGTAGCCAACCAGCCAATTGAGAAGCAACTCCTCGGAATCCTCCTAGGTCGGAGGCAAAGATACAGAAAACGTCGGTGAAAGGTAGAAGAAGTCGGCTATAGATTGCTTGTTCGGTGCGTTGCATATGATGAGACTCCGATCTGCCAGGCCCGGTGCGCAGAGGCCATAGGCTTCCATCGCGGCAACGGTGGCGGTTTGGTGTGTGACGAACACGCTCGCTACCGACTGAACCCGTGGCAATGAGAATGGGTCTTCTGGAACTGGGCGGTGCAGAGGCCACGTGAAGGTCAATATCTCCAATATAGGGTTTGCTCTTGAACAGGCGACTTCGGGGAACGTCGAAGAGCTTCTCGAGGGCAACAGATTTTGCTTGTTGACCTACAAGTACGATGAGGCTGGGATAGATATCCTCGGGCTGCTCAAAGCGTGAACCCAGTGTCTGCAATCTGCCTGTATCGATCAGTGACGTCTCATAGCCCTGCTCGCATATCCTGAGCCACGGGTGATGGTTGCAAAGCTTCATGTTTGTTCTGTTTGGATACTGTGTAGTGTGGAGGTACTTGCGGGAGACAAATAGTTGAAAGGAATAACATCTTCGACTTGGTTCTGGCTTTATAGGAAGCTACTTGACTCTGGAATTCTAAAATAGAAGGCCCTCTCTATCAATAGATACACGAGGGCTATTTTTAGTCCGGTAGGAATTTCCTAGACCCATCCCCCCACACCTCCACCTGCGAAGGTCAATCGTCATAAAGGTCCTGGGCAACAGGGCTGTATAGAGATGCCTTCTGGTAAGACAATTCAGGAGGAGATGTCTCTGAGAGTTGCTTTTGAAAATCGCCTGCCCACTTTTCGTCCAATTCTCTAGTCTCTTGCTCGAGCTGTTCAATACAAGCATTCAACACGACGTATGCTTCGAATGCTTCTCGCAGTAGCTTAGTAGTCGACTGCCACTTTTCTTTCCCGCGGTCGATGCTGTGCTCCAACCAGGCATTTTCCTCCAACAACCTCTCGACAACGTCCGAGTTCACCGAGTTCTGGAGCTGATCAACTTGATGGAGTAATACGTCCACGTTGGGTGCGATCTTCAATGGACTGGGGCTATAAAGCTCTGTGACCGTTCCTGTCGTAGAACTCATTTCAGGAGGAACTCTTGTAGAGTATTCTTGATTTCAAGGTCGATGGCAAGAACGTTGGCGAAAAGTGGCGCTGCTCTTGTGTCCTTCACAACTGGAAAGTGCGAGAATCCAATTAACGCCGGGATTATATAGGCCACAAATCAGCACAGCACTCTTTTCGTCGAAGCAAGCCAAGACAGTCGGACAGATTAAGGGGCTGTTCCCATAAATGTAGGGATCAAGAACTAGCCCCACCGGCTATGTATGTACTGTAGTACTTAACCTGGCGCCACAGAAGGCATGTATGTGAAGAACTTGATTCAGAGTCAACATCGGAACATGTCATCCCGCGATGCAATGGTCATTCAGGCGGACGCTATTCCACAGCGTTACAACGTCCTTGCCTTCCTATCATCCTGGCTGATTCACACCAGCTACCTGTTCCTCCCGGGCACGTTCACCTCTCTTGAGAAGCACCTCGATGACGGGAGCGGCCGAAGAGTAGTCGAGGCAGTGAAAAATGTCCCACTCCTCTGGCTGGCCGGAATATGCTGCATTGTTGGGACTGCTGGACTGGGCTATCTGTGGCGGACATGGAGTTCTAATCCGGTTTGGCTTATTCGCAATATTTTCCTGTGAGTTCCGGGCCCGAATACTGTATATAAGACTCTCGAATTAGCTAATCGTGGGCACTCTAGACCAGAGACAGCCAGCTCCTTTCTTGGCTCTTTAAATACGCTCATCAATGTCTACTCCGCGCAGAATGGATTTTGGTCACCAACAGCGGTGGTTGCCATGACCATCAACACAATATTTCTCGTGGGAATGCTGGCATCTTTGCTTGTTTACAAGTATCAACTCCATGTCATAGATCGATCCCGATTTGATAGCTCATTTCGATGGAACTTCCGACGTAGATAAGCTACCACAGAGTTTTGCTGTTGTGTAGAGAAGAATAAGTACTGAACACTATAACGGCCCCTCGACATATAATTCCAGTCCTGCGATACCTCCTCCATATCTAATTTGTAAACATAATTCCCCGATTTTACAGTA